TGCAGTGTCACCTCATATATGAACCACAAGTTGCTTCTTGCTGAAATTTCCACCAGCAGCAATGTCACAGTGCCCAGAGCATCCTTGCAGGAGGTTGGGTGTCCAAATGCCATCAGAGGATGCTGTAACACCTTCACAAGTGTCAGCATCAGAGTGCAGTTACTTCTCCAAGAACAAAATGGAGCAGGCTGCTGACAGCTCATACAAGATATCCCCATGGCTGCAGCAACGAGCCTTGCAAACTTGATGTCCACAGCTGTGATCCTTTGGGGCTGGAGTTTGCACAACAAAGAGTTCAACGGGTTCTGAGTGTTCAGGCTTACCTCATACCCAGATTGCCTCACTGGCTCCTGGGGAGTGGTTTTACACTGTGTCATGCAGCACTGTGGAGCTGGGCACACTTTGGGAGGCTTTGATGCTTTATGGCCCCTTCTAATGATGCGAGCACTGTTGGGCCCTGCTTTGTTGTGTCTTGGGCCTCATCAGAAAGGAGGAAATTGCCATGATAAAAAGCATTGCCCCACCACCACCACAGGATCCCCTTCTAATCTGCCTTCTCCCTTATCTGGCTAAGGACAAAATAAACCACATGACCTCACCAGTTTGTTTAAATCAACTTCAGTCTTTCCTGCCTCTGCTGCATATTTCTGCTTGGAACAACCCATTTGTATTTACATTATTCTCAGACTTTTGGAAGTGGAAGAAAATGAGGCCAATTTAGACTTGAATGAATGATCATAGAACCACAGAACATTTTGAGTTGGAAAGGTCTTTAATGACCATCCAGTTCCACCTCTCTGCCATGGACAGAGACACCTTGCACTAGACCAGATTGGTCCAAGCACCATCCAGCCTGGCCTTGGATGCTACCAGGGATCCAGGGGCACTCCCGGCATCTGTGGGCAACCTGTGCTGGGCCTTCACCACACCCACAATAAGAAATGTCTTCCTAATATCCAATCTAAATCCACATTCCTTTATTTAAAGCCATTGCACCTTGTCCTAACATCATGGTTTAACCCCAGCCACCAGCCACACCCATGCAGCCACTCACTCATTCACTCCCCAAACACCAGGATCAGGGGGAAAATCTGAAGGRTGAAAGCTGAGRAACTCGTGGGTRGAGATRAAGACAATAGGAAAGGGAAAGCAAAAGYTGWRMAYAMAAGCAAAGBACAGCAAGKAATTCTGTCACTGCTTCCCATGGACAGAAAGGTGTTCAGCYACCTCCACGAGAGCAGGATCCCATCACACCTAACTATAACCTGGCAGGACAAGTACCAGCACTCCAATGTCCCCTTCTTCCCTCGTTTTCCCCACACTWTGTAGAATCAGCTTGATGTGTCAAGTGAGTCACCAGGCCCTGTTAACTGATCCTGGCATATCATGCTGCAAGTCAGCAAATCTGGGAGAAATTCTGAGGAATTTCTGAGGAAACTATAACAGAGAACTGTCAACTCATTTCATGGTAGGCACGAACACACTCCCATGAAAAAAAGAAATAGGTAACTTCTCTTTTCTGTGAAATTCCCTGTTTATAGGGAGGGGCAAATTTATGACTGGGTATATATTGCGGYGGCACTCCTGAGGATTCAAAYAATCCTTTCTCCAGGGAGAAGAGGGAAGGAACAGCTCAGCTGCCTGTTCTGACACTCTSCTTCAAGGTAAGCTCTTGCTTCTTCCTTACCATTGACGCCAATATTCAAATTCTCTCATTAACTCTGGAATAAATATATGTAGACAAAGCCTAGGCAGGAGTTGCTGAGCTCCAAGAGCAATCAGAATTGATGCATGCACTGAATTTTGCATTACTTAAGTATTTTCTGTCAGTCAGGAGATCAAGGACAGAAGGAATGATTTGGGAAAGAAACTCAAGCTCACCTGAAAATTCACATCRAACTGTTGAATAGGAAGGCAGGGGGAGATTACTGAGTACCAAAATTTCATCCACGAGCTTGCAAAAAACCTCTGGACAGAGGTGATGTCTGAACTTGTGGAAGGATTCGCTCTAAACCCTGTTAGGGAAATCTAACAACTCTGTCTTCCTGGAGATYATATAAACCCAGAAAGTCTGAAATTGCAGCAGACGCATTTAAGAATCCTCTGCTACTTTGGGGCTGAGAGCAGTAGTTTGGTTTCTCTATATCTAATATTAAGTTAGATATTTAATTAGTTAGATATGTATCAATCTTGTGGATGATTTCTCAGAAACTTTCCTGCTTGATTTGGGGATGATGTAGACATTCTCTGCAGAGTATGGTAAAAAGTCACCAGTTGTGGTTCCAGTTCTCAGTTTCCAGCTCATTGGTCACCACGTTCCTGATCCAGGGCTGGTAAAGAGAAAAAGGACCAGAGGTGCTGGGTCAGAGCAGGGCTTTGTGTAACTCAGCATCCTGAATTCAATGGAAATGCAGAGATGAATGTCAGGGAGAAGAATAAGAAAAGAGCAAATGTGTTAGGTGACTTAGAAATCCTACAGCAGTCCTTAGCTCAAACCCTTCCCAACCAAAAGTGGTCTTTGTGCTTTAGAGGCTGTGGCAGATCCTGTCCCATAAATCCTTTTAGATTCCTGTCCTGCCTGCCTTATTCCAAATGCCAGGCCATGACCAGCTCTCTCCAAGCTCAGWGTCCCTSTGCATTTGTCTTCCAGGGAACAAGAGCCATTCACCTGAAATCCTCCCACGATGCTGTGGCTGCTGCTGCTGCAGGTGTTGGCGAGCTGCCTCTGGCTGGGACACAGCGAGGTGGTGACGGACTTCACAAGTTGTCCYCAGTTTTTCTATGAGGGAACCACCCCAAATGAAGCCTTTGCGCCAAACAATTCAGCCAAGATCTGTCAACGCTACAATGACCAGTATCA